AAAGTTGAAGTTAAGTAAACAAATGTAAAACACTCCATGTTTTACAACACTCTAACTCCACCCTCTGGTTGCTCCAATGTTCTTCTACAACCTGCTTGGATAGCTCGAGCTTCACTCAAGCTTCAAGGTCGAAGTCAACTTTCAACTCCACGGCTTGAACTCCCTTCAAGCTTGCATCAAATAAACCATGTTCTAACAAACACTCAATAACAACAATACATAAGCAAAGTATTTTGGGTATAAAACCATATAAGGAACCTGACCAAAGAATAAACTCTTTATAACTTTTAGAGAGCAAAATGGAATATTCAGGTTCAAGAGAAAATGCAAGGATGAAGAAGATATTATATAATCCTTGCTCAACAAATCTTTAGACCGCCAGCTGAAATAGGCTTACACATGTTTGGCTAATTTAGGAAAGTTCTCAACAACTTTGTTGGATCACATCTAAAAAAGGCAAAACAAACTTTCCAATACCACTTCTGAAATGTTAGGCCTTGTATACAGACCTTTCACGTAGATTTCAGAATTGGAAAAAAATATCCTAACAAGCAATGAAAACTCGACACCTATACTAAAGGTCTCACTGGAAAAATGTTTACACAACTAACTTAAATGATTTGCAATAAGTTCAAACTAAGAAAATGTGCACACATTTATGTAAGATGTTGTGACATGTGTAAACTACAGACATGATTGTGTTTAACTAAATAAATGTGCAAACATCAGTTTTAATGTGCACATACATCTTCATAAGTTGACAAAAATACTTATAGCTTATATTAGTAAAATTATATTTTGTTTAGAACATGTTTACAGTTAGAAAATATGCAAGCATAATTAGCAACATATTTATATAATTAATACATTAAATTGTATATTATCGTTTAGGAAGAATGACGAGATAGTTTTATTAATTTTATATATTTTCAAACTTTTAAACTTAGATTGAACCTCTCATTACAGAATATGAGTGAGGATTCGCAATCATAAGAGTTCTTTGTACAACCTAATAGATGAATAATGTGACAATAAACAAGAATATGAGTTTGTAAGTGTTATATTATTTGGATTTGTATGCCCTCTGCTCCTAATTTTTCTTAAGATTTTAATAATCCAATGACACATGAAAGTTTTGGTATTAAAGGATCAAGATTATTTTTTCTTAATTAAATGTTTCGCTTTCAACTATTAAGTATTAAGTTTTGAACACACAAAAATTCTAACATTGAGAAACAAAGAAGGTTTTCTAGTTATTAGGATTAAAAAATCCAGTTTTTCATATAAGTTTTTTCTTTCCCATTATATTTGAATGGTGTTAAAAAAGATTAGGTGGGTAACTCAATTTCTTGGGGATCTATGATAAAAATTTGAGGTTGGCCCAAGCCCAATTGGGCCTGATCCCAGTTTGAGCCCCAAGAAATTGTACAAATTTTGGTGAAACTCATTTTTTACAAATATGAACATAAAGCGTGCTGCCCAAGCATGAAGGTCACCTTACCCTAGCTATAAATATTTCTCAGAAACACCTACTTTTCTGGCCAAAATTTATTTCTCAAGATTTCGCCAGGTGCGTTTTCTTCTTATTCTTATAGTCATTTTGGATATTTATTTATTATTTAACAATATTACTGAGGTTGTAACTTTAATGTATTCTATAACTAATCTTAAAAGTCAATGTTGTGACATTATCTTCTTTACTAAAAATATGATTTTGGGTTGCCAGGTTTTAATGCATATTTGTGTTTAAAATAGAATAGTTGTGTTTTAAGTTGTATAACGAGTGGAATTTGCTGTAGTATAGGACTGTGCCTGTTATGTTTATGATGTTTATGAGAGTGCTTTTGGTACTATCAAAACTCTTTTTATAATTTTATCTCCATTTTTGAAATATATGTTTGGTTGAAATAGTCAAAATACTTTCTGATATCAAATTCTACAAAACCATTTCAATAAGAAAAATGTTTAAAATTTAGATCCTTTTATGTCAAAGTCTTTTGAGTAAAAGTGTTTTTTTGTGAAAGTACACTGAAACTTACAATTTTTAGTTATGTTTTTGTTTTTGTCTTTTTTTTTTTTTTTAACACCAAAATAGTTTCTTACAACAAATGCTACAATGAGCAGAGCCCTCTAACTTGAATGGTTTTCTGCAAATCACCAATATAATAGCGGTTATTAGGTTAAATAATTGTGAACAATATGTAAACTTTATGTAATTGCATTAAAATATTGCTTCTGCTGATTTACACCATGCAATATTTGTAATATGTTCATGTTTGCAAATGGGTATGAGTTGGTTGTTCTTAATTCTTTCTCTAGTACGATTTTCTTATTCCTAATTTGTTTTTTGGTTAATTTTCAGTGCTTTATACTCCTTTTGTTGTTTGAAGCTTAAGTTGATTTTTCATTAATCATATTCTGAATCATCTCTCATCTTGTATATGCAGTCTTTGTGTATTGCAATGACAGGCACTCAAGACTCTAACGTGAATATTGAGATTTGGAAAATGAAAAAGATGATCAAAACACTGGATGGTGTAAGAGGCAATGGCACTAGTATGGTGTCTCTGATCATCAATCCTCGCGATCAGATATCTAGAGTTGTGAAGATGCTGGCAGAGGAATATAGAACTGCTTCAAACATTAAAAACAGAGTAAACCGTCAATCTGTGTTGAGTGCAATTACTTCTGCACAGTCAAGGCTCAAGCTTTACAGAAATGTTCCCTGCAACGGACTTTTGTTTATACGGAACAGGAGTTACCAAAGATGGGAAGCAACAGAAGTTTGTTTATGATCTTGTGCCTTTTAAGCCCATAAATGTATCTCTATACATTTGTGACAATAAATTCCATACTGAAGCTTTGAATTGACTCCTTCAGTCTGATGAGAAGTTCGGATTTATTGTTATAGATGGGAATGGAACTTTCATTGGAACATCAAGTGGCAGAAGTCGTGAGATACTTCATAAATTTACAGTTGATCTTCCAAAGAAGCATGGAAGAGGTGGTCAATCAGTATTGAGGTTCTCACGCCTTCGAGCAGAGAAACGCCACAACTACCTAAGGAAGGCTGCAGAGCTTGCTGCGAAGTATTTTATAGATCCTGCAACAGTTAAGGTTAATGTTGATGGGTTGATACTTGCTGGATCTGCTGAATTTAAAACAGAATTGAGTCAGTCTGACATGTTTGATTCATGCCTCAGGGCAAAAATACTGAAAGTGGTAGACATTTCATATGGCGGAAAAAAGGGTTTCGATCAGGCCATAGAGCTGTCCTTTGATGTTCTATCTAATGTTAATGTTGTAAAGGAGAAGCGTTTGATCGGTAAGTTCTTTGAAGAAATCAGCCAGGATACAGGAAAGTATTTGTTTGGTGTGGATGACACTATAATGGCTCTAGAAATGGGCAGCATCCAGACACTTATTATCTGGGAAGATCTGGATATAAGTCGTTACGCCTTGAAAAACAGTGTGACTAATGAAATTGTCATAAAGTACTTGAATAAGGAACAAGAGACCGACGACACCAAATTCCAGGATTCAGCTACTGGTTCCGAATTGAAGGTTCAGGAAAAATTGGCACTTGTAGATTGGTTTGCTGATCAGTATAAGTAGTTCAGCTGCTCACTTGAGTTTGTCACCAACAAATCACAAGAAGGATCTCAATTCTGCAGGGGATATGGTGGCATTGGGGGAATCCTTCGCTACCAGTTAAATATAAGATCGTTTGATGAAGCTTTTGATGATGGAGAAGCTGCTCAGGATAATGAGTAAGAACTAAGACTTGCTGCATAGTGCCTTTGTGGGATGAACTACTGCAGCCGCTACAGTCAAGTGCCTCACTGTAATGTGCTGCTGCAATATGCTACCTGCTTACATGGAACCAATGCTTATTTCGCTCTTTTGTTTATGTTAAGTTGATAAATTTGCTACTAGTAGGTGACAAACTGATCTAGAAGATTGATAGTGGAAGGTAAATAGTTGTGATATTTGCTTTGTGAGACACTATAATCTGTGTCAAATGTTTAAAGTTCTTTGCTTTAAAGTAGTATTTTGAATTTCCATTTCAACCATATATGCTTCATATTGATATTTTAGGCTAGTTCGATGATCTCTTCAAATATGCCTGGTAATAGGAATGGATGTGGATGTTCCTTTCGCTCTGTTGTGTGGATGTTCCATTTTGATGAACAATTATTGATACAATCGACGGTTCTTCTGGTATAAAAATCAAGTCATTGGGTGCATCATACAAGTCATAGCATCTTAGCCATGAAATTCCTGTTGACTTGTTTTAGTAGATTGCTGGGAACATCTTCATCAAATGAATTCATATCAATCACGCATTTCAACTACTTGAGCCGTTTATATTTGGTGACTTATATGATAGCTATTACGTTTCGGAAACTAAATTTCAAAGATGATTTTGTGAATTGCAGAGATATTAGCCTCAGGTTTCACTTGACAGAGCATCAGTAGAGAATTTTCATGGCCATTCCACATAAACACAGTAAAAGATTTTTCTTTCACCAAGCACTCAGTTCATGACCAAATCAATGTTTACCCATTTGACAACTACCCAGAAATTCTTCACTTATGTGATTTATTTTCTGACCAACTGATCTTTCACTACTTTTCTTTTTCGATGCACAATGGATGCCAAATTTTCTGTGCTACGCTCACGAGATTGGATTGGAAAAAATGCTGATTTGAACATGTAAATTTCTTAAGTAAAATTGCAGTACTTGAATAATGTAAACATATGTTCACAATAATTATATATGGGTTTGGGTAAGTAAAATGTGAACCCACCACCGAAAGTTGACAAATGGAAATTATAAAGCCCGAACATGTGTCAACCATTCAACACAGGCATTCACAATATGGTGCAGTACAATTATCACCGAAATCCAGTCTGTATAATGAAGGAGAGCAACTGTTCCAATACATGAGCTGGCTTTCACAGGGAAAAAAACACGAAAACACAAAAACAAAAAACAAAAAACAAAAAAGAACTCCCTCTCTATTATATGCCATGCATAAAATCTCAAATATTCAGCCATATAATTTCCTAAACAAGAAATCTGCGTCAGCCTGACTCAGGTTTCTAGACTTGGATCAAAATACTAAATAAAAAATAAAACTTATTGTTAAAAAAAGATAGAGAAAATATATATAATGCACTAGAATCTCTTCATTTCTTGTTTATATATTATATTTTTAACCTACTAATATACACAAAAATTCGTGATACATTGAAGCTAAAGCTAACTAAGACAATACCACCATTTTTTCTTCCTCATCAATCTCATTAATCTCAATCTCATGACACAAAGGAGTTAAAGAAGATGAAGAAAAAGAAGAAACAGCAGAAGAATAAGAAGTTGAATCAACAGGAGCTGAAGAAGAAGAATTATTAGAGGCAAGAGCAACAAGGAGATCAACAAAAGCATCAACTATAAATCCATGGTTCTTCTTCCCATTCACTCTCAAATACCATCCCAACAACTCTTCCAAACACTCCCAATCTTTCAACCCATGAGTCTCCACCATCTCCTCCATTGATCTCCTGAAGTCAACGTAAGGATCCTCAGACTCCATAGCCAAAAGTACACTCTCTTTAAAAGGAAACCCTTCAGTCTTCGCCTCCTCGAGGATCGAACTAGTGTCGCCGGGCTCAAAGAACAGCCGTTCTGATCTCGCCCCTCGCACCACCATCTCCAACGACTCGCCATCAAACTCTTCAACGAGAGCGGATTCAGAAGAGAAGCTTCTGGCAGACTCGGCAGTGGATGAGTTTGTGAACCATGTTTCAGGAGTTTCAACTCCTTCATTGTTATTAGCCAAAGGATCAAAGAAGATAGAGTTGACAGTCTTGATAATGTCGTCGTCTCCGGCAGCTCGGAAAGAAAGAGTCTTGGGATGCTTGCATGAAGGCCATTGAAGCCTGGTGCTGGTGGTTTCTTGGTGGTGGTGATTCTTGAAGAAAGAAGAGATCTTCATGAGAGTTAAGAGGGGATTGGTAGTTATAAATGTGAGAAGGTGAGAGTTGAGGAAGAAAGAGAGATATTTAAAGGAGGAGAAGGGATAGGAAGATGGAAAAGAAATGGGAATGGTAGGGCCTGTCACCTGTGAGGCGTGTATTAAATAGTGGGAAAATGAAATTCAATGTCTTATTAAATGGGATCCCTTCCAACAGTGGAATCATATTTTATTCAACTGTTTTTGTTGTTTTCTCAACACTTTTGAGACATTATTTTCTTTTTTCATCCTCTATTATAGCTTCTTTTGGTTCTAATAATGTTAGGTTAGGGTTTTTCAAGTTGATTAATAATAAGGTAACAGTAAGATTATTAGGTTAAAGGTTTATTTCATTAGTGTAGAATGACGATGCCGGTCTGTAGTGTTGGAAAATTTGAGTTACAATGAGCATGGAGGGATAAGATGCTGGCGCAATTTTTTGCATTGTTCTTCTGATACAATTATGCCAATTTCTGCTGTAACAATGAAACATGTGAAACAATCTATAGAGCAACCGAAACCAAACAAATAAACAATCATATGCAAATAATGTAATCAGTAAAGAAAAAGCATACGCGCGATTTACTCAAGTTCACCTAAAAAAATGGTTACGTCCAAGAGAGTCAATATTATTGAAATATCTTCTCAATTCTTTCGTTACAATGAATATATTTGTTAATGACTTGCTCTACCACTCATTCAAAAGAGTTATATGCTTATATACCAGGTGTAATGAGAAAAACCTAATATTACTTAGATCCTTATTCCTAAGCCTAAACCCTATTAAGAATTTAATTATTTAGAAAAATGATCCAACGGTTTTTTTTTGTTTTTGTTCTAATCTTTTTTTTTTCTTTTTTTGTTCCCCATTTGCTTTTGGCAATTGAGTTGTGACCTTTAGCTGACTAGCTCATGTTGATGAGCTTTGACATCTAGCTACGACCTCAATTGTTGAAGTGGTTGCCAACCCCAACAACATGAACGATCAGATTAGTGAATTTTTTTATATAATTGTTTGCTTTTGTGATATCAAAACACATTTTTAGGATTATTTTATATTTAATACTAATAATAATAATAATAAAATGTTCGTTGCTAACTATGGGAGTTGGAATAATATGAGTTGACAATTGCAAAATAAATATTCAAATTCAAATACTAAAAGTTTCAACTTAAGTATTCAAATATAAATGCAACATGTTTCTCAACACTTTGAGAAATGATTTGATTTCTTTTGGTATCCTTGGTTATACCCTCTTTTGGTTCTAATAATCTTATGATTTCGGACTTAGGGTTTTTTAAAGTGATTAAATTCTTAAATCATGATATAAAAATTAATAAAAAGGTAATACTAAGATTATTAGATTAAAGGTTTATTTCATTTGCCTCAATGATATCAAAACACATCATCGGAATTATATTATGTATTTCATATTAAACGACTTCAAGAAAAGTAAATGAAATAAACCCATACGTTAATTTTATTTAAAGACAAATAGCATTTTATGATACTATCGATAGACTTGGAATAATATGAGTTGACAACTATTAAATAAATAATCAAATTAAAATGTTACAAGTTTCATATTAAGTAATAATATGTACATATCAATGTGTAATTTATATGTATGTTGTATAAGAGGTATATTATTATTATAATTGTTGATTCTTACTTTATAAGAAAATCATTTTTATGAGGTAATGTTACAGGGGCGGTGGTAGAAATGTAATCTCATTTTTTATTAAATAAAAGAAAAGAAAAATATAATTTATATAAGTGAACCCTTTGTTGCAGCAGCTACCTTACTGTTGTAACTCGTGATTCTATTGAAAGGTCACATGAAATTACAGATTTTTATGTAACAGTGTAACACTACCTTTATTATTCCTTATTTCTTAAATTTACCAAAAAATTTATCATAATTCCTTATTGACTCATAACTTTTCATTAAACTTTTAGATAGACCCAATACCTAGCATTATATAAATTAATTTTAATATGGGTAGGACTATTTGCACTCATAAAAATACTCTATACTCCCATTTTGCTAACAATACACATTATTAAAATCTTAGACATAATATTTTATCAATTTTCAACTATTGTTTTTTTGTTCTTTCATTTTTTTCTATTCAATTAAGAATTAATCTTATATTAATATAATTTAAACATTTGAAATCAAAATCTGATTTAAAATTTTTATAAGGAATATACTCAAAGTACACAAATAATAACCCTCTTCTAATATTTATAGCTTACCCTTTATCATTGAATTTTTTGTATCTATAAATTATATATAAAAACTTTTTTTTCTTCACATCACTTATTTATGAAAAGGGTTTTTGACTAATTTTGAAAACAATCTCTATTACCGTCAAGCCGAAAAGAGGGTTAAAGAGAATGGTAATTTTTTTTTACATGTATTAATTCAAAATGTGAAAACTAGAGGAGCCTCGAGTGTCACAACAATTTAAAAAATTATTTTTGTGCCTATAAAAAAAGGCTTTTGGTGGTGGGGGGGCATGTAGGGGTGTAAACGAGCCGAGTATCACCCTAAACGAGCCCGGCTCGGTTAAGCATTAGACAAGTTCGAGTCAAGTCATGAGTCGACCGAGTCAGGAAAATTCGACTCGTTTAACGCGAGCTCGAATTGGCTCGATTATGGCTCGTTTAACCATTTTTTAATATAACCTGCATATCTTGTTTTACACAAATCATATCTAATTTTTGATAAATTTGCATCTAAATTAACATAAATCACATCCAAATCAACATAAACAACGTATTACACAACAAATTATGCAATCTAAGACAAAAAAAAAAACACAAATGTCCATCAAAATACATCAAAATTATGATCAAAACGGCATATAACTCAAACTTTCGGAAGTTGAATCTCCAATGGTTCTTGTGTTTGTGGGTGGCTTGGTGTGATAATCGGAAAATTGTTTTTGGGGTTTCTTGTTTTAGGGTTTTTGATTTGGGGGAGAATGAATTTACGCGATTTGATTTTGAGTTAATTGGGGTTATTTGGTTAAGGGTTAATTTGTGATTTTTTTAAACCTTTTAGTCTTTTACATGTCAAATTACAAGAAAACCCAAAAACTTGTATTATGCGCAGAAAAACCCTAAATGAGCCACTATTGGCTCGCGAGTTGAATCAAGCCGAGTCAGGGTAGACTCGAACTCGGCTCGATAACTTACTCGAGTCGAATTCGAGCTGAGTTTGAGTATTTAACAAGCTGAGCCGAGTCGACTCGCAAGCGGCTTGGCTCGATTGACAGCCCTAGGGGCATGTTTGGGATACTTATAGTAATTGAAAATGAACCATTAAATTGTTTAAGAAAAAAAATGATGAGAACAAAAGAAGAAAAATAAATATTTAAAGGAAAAAGAATAATGAAAGAGGCAGAATTCATGTGAATGTTCAATGAAAGGAAGAGTTGTTGTTGCATAGACTTGTCTTAGCCCATGAAGCAAAGAGTGAAGACGGTGACTTAACATTTAATAGGGCTACCTTTTTTTTTTTTTCTTTATATATTTGGCTACTCTCCCTCTACATCAACTAAATTTAATTAATATTTGAAAATCTATAATAGGACATTAACATTCCACAATGATCCTCTCTCTTTCAAATTACAACCTTATGGACCTCTAGACGGTTGCGGCACTCTTATTTTTTGAAAAAATAAAAATAAAGGATATATCAAAATATTAAGATTGAAATCTTTTTTTCTAGTGGATTCATCACATCTCTTTTATGAATGTATTGATTTTTTTTTTTTTTTTTTTTTAAACATGAATCAAGATTTATAACGTAAGAAAACACTTCAAGTAAACCATCATTGGGTGGTCTGATGCTAAAAGAGCAAAAAAAGATTTCATAAACTCTTGAGCTCAAATATTTTTAGGCACTAATAAAAATGGCTATTAAGACTCTTACATGATCAATAGTTTTAGGTCTCGAGAGATTAGTTTAAGTGCGTGTAAGTTGGCTCGATCACCCATGTCTCTTAAAATCTTGAAGAGATAGTAATTTTCTAAACTATGGTTTGTCCTCCAACCTTTCATAATATATAAATAAAACATGCGTAGAATATAAAAAGGATTAAAATTTATAATGTCCTACCCGTCACTTGAGGTAGAGGTTTAAGCTACACTCAATACTTAAATTAACAATTTCATAATATTTTATGTTAATGAATTAATAGCACAAGTCAAATGCCATGACTTCACTATCCTTTTAAGTTGCAAGTCGGCCAAGTTCCTAATCACTAATTTAAAACCCATTAATTAATTTTAGGGTCAAAATAAAAACAAATGAAACAAAAAATCCATATTAATTTATAATTTAGAGATATGTTGAATATATTACCCTCATACTTGCTAGCTTTTTATCTTGTATTTGTTTCGATATATAATCGATAAATTTATCTCTTATTTCTAATTTATAACATTTAATTATAATTAAGCATATATTTGCCTATATGTATATGATAAAAACCAAATTAATTAATCAAATTAAATTGATTTCATAAACTAATAACCAAATTTCTTGAGTAAACCGACCGAAGTTGATATAAAACTGTTTAACTGTGTGATTCAGCTGTTCCTGAGCGTTAACTTTTGTTTTGTTTTTTTAATTTTCTGGCACAATTCATTTTACGGGTTTCAATTAGGTGATGTATGGACGGCCGAGGTTAATCTAATCAGTTGACTATGATTCAATTATTTATTTGAGATTGAGCTCAGTTTGTCTTGGTATACTTTGGGTGCCCTACAGTTTTATTGGTATTGAGAGTAAACGAAGATGTTTATTTTTTTCTGATCACTTCTTACATTATGCATGTGAATGGGACCTCTTGGATAAATACAATATTGTCTACTTCTGTTAAATATATGGTTTAATATGGGTAAGTTTCCATAAATTACCCCTTAAGTTTCCATAAATTACAAGCAAATGCTAGGTTTGGGGTGTTCATTAAAACCATCCTTGGGGTTTTGAAATTAGGGGTAAAAATAACATTTTTGTGGCTAACACCGTTTCATTTGGCATTACATATTTGTTTGAAATGACTCTTTTGTCCCTAT